GGGAATCAGCTGGAAGCAAAGCTAGACAAGCCAGATGTGGTCAACTGGATGTGCTACCGCAAAACGGAGGACTATTTCACCATCTGGCTCAACCTCAATACCTTCCTGCCAGTGGGAGTTGACTGCTGGATCGATAACACCAGGTACCGCTCACCCCCACCTCGGGAACTCCCCGGGTCAATGACCTACCAGGGATCTCCCTCCCCTCTCCTCCCCGCCCCGGCCACGACCTGGCACACATGGAAAACCACAGGAGCACCACAGGACTGTTTGGGAACACATCTGACTGGTTCCCGCTCCAAGCGCCCATCCCTTTCCCACATCCCTGTCATGTGCTCGTGCCCAGCCAGACCATCCTCAACACCCACTGGAGACGCTGCCACCCTGCCTGGGGCCACAGGGTGAGGGGGCTGCCACAGCCCACTCTATCAGACCCTCCTGCCCCAAGCTGCCAGCCAACGGGTGTGGACGCTGGCTTGGCACCGGTCCACCTCCCCATCCACACCAGACTTGGAAACAGCTGCTCAGGTCCAAGCTGCCAGCCAGTGATCTCCACCCTAGCCCCCTGTCCCCCATGGGGACACGGCTCTTCTGCTACTTTCTGTCCTGTCCCCGCAGGGTGGTGTACAACCGAACCTCTCGGAAAATGTCCAATGCTCCGGGAGTGCACATCCGTGTGCCTGGCTTCGGCAAGACCTACTCCGTGGAATACCTGGATCAGAGCAAGCTGGCAGGTGAGAGGAGGAGAGGCGCGGGATGTCTGGGGATGCCACATGCTCCCTGGAAGTGGAAAGGTGTCCCCATGTCTCAAGTAGGGACCGGTTCTGCAGAGAGCCCAGGTGACCTGGGAGTGAGGGACATTGGACTCTGGGACACACTCCCTTTGAGCACTGGCAGGGACCACCCCATCCTGGACCCCAGTGCACATGGGATGCATGGAGCCACTACCTCTGGCTGGAGCTACCAAGCTACAGGGCTTACCAGAGAACATTGTGACCAGGACCAGGGCAGAAAAAGGTTGACAGGAGAAGACCACAGACCTAATTCCCACCTGTTCTCTCTGCCCATAGGTTACCTGCACACCCTGGTGCAGAACCTGGTGAATAACGGCTACGTGAGGGACCAGACAGTTCGGGCAGCCCCCTACGACTGGAGGGTCGGGCCCCGTAAGTCTGGGATTTGTGGCCAGGCCACCCATGCAGGGGGGGAAGCAGGATGGCTCGCACGGGCTGGGTGAGCTGGCTGGTGTGGAGGAACCCCTGGACAGGGATGACTGCTCATGATGGTGGGTGCTCGGCCATTCACAGTGCGCTCGTGTGAATGCATGGTGGCACTTGTGGCCTCTGCACCCACACATCTCTCTGGTCGGGTCAGCCCTGCAGCCCTGTGGCCATGAGTGAGGTGGCCAAGAGCTGGCGCCCCTTTTGTCCACAGAGGAACAGCCCGAATACTTCCAGAACCTGAAGGCCCTGATTGAGGAGATGCACGATGAGTACCAACGAGGCGTCTTCCTCATCGCGCACAGCATGGGCAACCTGAACGTCCTCTACTTCCTGCTACAGCAGACGCAAGCCTGGAAAGATCAGTACATTGGGGGTTTCATCTCCCTGGGTGCCCCCTGGGGAGGGTCCGTCAAGCCCCTGCGTGTCCTGGCATCCGGTGGGTGACTCCTTGTGTGCAGCCACCTCTTTGCTTTCTTTCCCTCCTGCAGAAATGGAAGGGGGGGGGGGGGGGGGGGCAGGGAAAGGACGTGGTGGTGGAAGAGGTGGGGGACAGACGGCCAAGGTGTCTGTGGAGGCAGCACTCGTACTCTGGTGCAGATGCCTCTGCGTCCTGCTGCATCCTGTGGCGCAGAAAGCACCGTGGAGGTTCCTGCCACAGCCCTGGCAGCAGGAGAGTGGCCCAGGGCGTGCTCTGGAGCTTGCTCTGGTTTCCATGATTGGGGTTGCTGGGTTTGTGTGTATGGAAAATTGCTGTCAGAAGGGACCACCTGCAGCCTGGCCATCCCCCTTCCTCCACACCAGCTCTCGGCAGACAGCCTGCAGCACAGCCTGCACCATGCACAGCATCAACTCCTGGGCTAGGGCTGCTCCTGGAAAGCCAAAACACCCATCCACAAATCTTGGGGCCAGAGAATGCTCACCCAGGGCATGCTCACCCCCTTCTCATTGCCTCCCTTGACATCTGCACCACCTCCATCCATGCAGGACAGTGAGGTTGCTGGACCTTTGCTGCAAACCATACATCTCTTCTGCAGCAGAGGACATGGAGGCCACCCAAGGGACACTCACGTTCTCCTGCACCACTTGCTTGGATCTCCCCACATCTCAAAGCCCATCCCCCATAAGCTTTGCTGTCTTCAGGCTTTAATCTCCCTTCACCAAGTTCCTCTTTAGTCTCTTTGCAGCCCAGAAAGCCACAATCACTTGCCTAATGCTGACAGCCCAGAATAACTACAAGTCACAAGCTGAGCCTCCAAAAATGCATGGAATTAAAAATCATGTGCTTGAAGATTTTAACATCTGGCCCCTTGCATCACCCTTAAGTCACCTCCTCATATTTTTCTCTGTTGCCACAAGGGCCAGAGACATTTTTAAGGTAATCTGAGATCATTGCGTGGTCTTAGGACTCCAGACATACCAAAAATGCCGAGGCTTGCAGGAGACATATAGATTGGCCACCCACTATCAGCACCTTCATCGGACTCAGCTCACTCCTGTCCCTGCAGGCAGGCATGGAGGTGCCGGGGTTGCAGGGAAAGTCCGGGCCTGGGTTGGTCAGGGCCATCACACGTCCAGATTTGTCTACACTCAGCCCCGCCTAGCAGCTAGAGATGTGGTGCCAGAGAGGGGAGTTTGGAAGGTTGCTCTGGATATCTGCAGCCAGAGGGGTGAGGAGAGGACGTACGGTCATGGGCAGCACAGGGGTAAGCAGGGGAAGATCTGAGGTGGAACCATACCCCAGCCAGGAGACAGCTCTGAGTCACAGGTGGACTGGCTGATCCCAGCACAGCTGCCCAAGGGGCACCATTTGCGAGGGTACATCTTGGTGCTGTTTCTGATAAGCCCCTGTGTGTCCCACAGGTGACAATCAGGGCATCCCACTCATGTCCAACATCAAGCTGCGTGAAGAGCAGCGCATGACCACCACCAGCCCCTGGATGTTCCCAACGAGCCTGGCCTGGCCCGAGACCCACATTTTCATCTCCACACCCTCTTACAATTACACCTACCGGGACTACCAACGCTTCTTCACCGATGTCAACTTGGAGGATGGCTGGTACATGTGGGAGGACATGAAGGATTTGCTGAAGGGCTTACCCCCTCCTGGCGTGGACACGTATTGCCTCTATGGCACAGGCTACCCCACTGTGGAGACTTACATATATGACGAGCATTTCCCTTACGAGGACCCTGTGGACATGATTTATGGTGACGGGGATGACACCGTCAACACACGCAGTTTGGAGTTGTGCAAGCGATGGCGTGACCAGCAAAAGCAGAAGGTGCACGTCCAGGAGCTGCGAGGCGTCGACCACCTTAACATGGTCTTCAGTAACCTGACGCTCAGTTCCATCAATGAAATCCTGCTGGGGAGCCCACAGGAACAGGGGGAGCCGGGGCAGGAGAGACCCAGCTCAGAGGCAGGGAAGGGGGGGAAGATCCTACCTGGGCACACAGTCCTTAAGGAGCCCAAAAAGAACTGAAAGAAATGAGGGCCAGCTTCCCTCCATGCTGGTGGCCACTGCAAGCTGCCATGCAGGGGAGCAAAGGACTCGGAGCTGAGTTTGGAAGGAAAAGGAGCGAGACCAACAGCTCAGGTAGATGGGCTGGCACCCACTTCCACACTGATTGGTTTTTCTTTTGGGAATGGCGATTAATTATACTTCAGAGGCTTGTCACTTCCCACTAGCGGGTGGATAATTAACCACGCTGTCAGCTCATTAACATCACACTTGCGAATTACGGTGTACGCACAAGCCCTTGTCGCTAGCAAGCCGCCTTTAGGCACTTTAGAGGCTGTGGAGCCCACGGTGCCATAGCCTTTGCTCACTTGGGACAGAGCAAGTCACATAACGAGTGCAGGCTCTGATTTACTGGGGTGGTCACAGGGGTGGCACAAGGGTGACACGGCAGGTATGACTTGCAAGAGCACCTCTGCCAACCGCCAGCATGCAGGCAGCACACTAGGCTCCTCGGGCAAGACTGACTCGAAATCAGCAGATGTACAAAATAATAAACACACTTTGCTTCTCAGTGCTGAGCCTGCCTTGTCCTTGCACAGCAGGTTAGTAAAGCCAGCTGTAACCGAAAATGGAGGTGCTCACTGCCTCGCGGCACCCCAGCAGCCAGGGCTTTGGGAAAAGCCACATGGCCGGTGATGCAACTGGGGTTGGTGATGCAGCTGGGGCTGGTGCTACAACTGGGGCTGGCAACGCGATTGGGGTGACAGTATGATTGGGGCTGGTGACAACCGGGGTTGGTGAGACAACCAGGCCCAGCGATGCCACTGGGGCTGGTGACGCAGCTGGGACTACTGATGCAGCCGGGACCAGTGATGCACCTGGCTTGGCGATGCAACCACCTTGGCGATGCAACTGGGGCTGGCAAAGCAGCCAGGATGACAACGCAACTGGGACTGGCGATGCAGCCAGGGCCGGTGACACAGCTGGGGATGGCGACGCAACTGGGGTTGGCGAAGCAACCGGGGCAGCAGTGCAACTGGAGCTGGCGACGCAGCTGAGGCTGGCGATGGAGCCCGGGCTGGCAATGCAAACGCGCTTAGTGACACGGCTGGGGGCGGGGATGCAAGCGGGGCTGGGGATGCAACCGGG